ATCTTTTGGGTTGAAAGTAATTCAACAGCGGACGATCCTATAAATAAGGGAGCCGGTTCTGGAATTTTTCAAGAATTTCGTGAAAGATTGAATGCTCTGTAAACATTTTCAACGCCTATAATAATACACAAAAACAGTAAGATAATATATTATTATTATGTACTATTATTTCAATATATATATATATATATATATATATTGAAATAATAGTCTTGAAAGATTCTTCCAAACTCGTCGAACATTTCCGTTCTCCCTTAAAATAACAATTATGTACCTTCACCATAATAATATATTTTCACGAAAACAAATTGATCTTGTGTCATCGTTATTGATATACCTACTCGTAAATTATTTTGAGTATTATAATCTTATATATTAAAAAAATTTATGAAAACTTAAGTCAGTCCGTTCTATCCGGCCGATTTTCTTCATTTTTTTCTTTTAAATTAGTGGTATTTAGACACAGATATGTCATTAATCATTGAAATTTACTCAACTACCACCAACGCGATTCTTCTCTGTACATTTCTTATTGAATACATTCACTCAAGCAATTCGAATTCTCATAGCTCATCTTCTAATGAATGGATCTTGATCATTTCACTCTCAGAACACTCAGTGGATCAAGCTCTCTCTTTTGAGCTATAACTACTTAAATTTGTTGAATTTGAGAAAATTTATGCGTGCACAATCAACTTTACATTCAATTTTTTCAAGATTTTTCAATATTTTTCTCTTTTTTCAAACCTCTATAACTTGAGTTATAATTAACATAAGCTATTGACACAAGTCTAGGAATACTCAGTAGATTACGCTCTCTCTCCATTAACTGCTTAAATTCGTTGAGTATTAGGAAAGTTATGTGTGCACAATCAACTTTATTTTCAATTTTTTCCAAATACTGCATTCTCATTAAATCTTACCCAGTGATATAACGACAAACAACTCACAAACAATACTAATATTATTACTTATATTAGCTAATATTATCTGGAAGGAAGCACTGTAAAATTATTTTATGTAATAATTACACCCTCTCATACATAGTCTATCCTAATGCTGTGGAACATATATTTTATAAACACTCTGTCATTTTGATATGTCTTTCAACTTCGATATTATTACTCATTTATTGATTTGTTAAAATGTGTTTATGTATTGATTCGATTGCACCCATACTTTTTATTATATAAATAAATGATCTATTGCGAATTTTCGCAATGGGTATACTAGTTTCTATTAAAAGTAAAACTTTTAAGTTTATTATTAGTGCTTTTTCATATGCAAAAATTTACATTCCAATGATCGTCAACATTTAACAACAACAAAGGATTTTAATTGATTTTTATTTGAAACGTAATATAATATACTGCATAAATGGTTAAATGAGAATTAACATGGTTTATTTGATAAGAAAAATAAATAACCAGTGTTGTGCATTATCTAGACAATTTTATCCAGATACTTTATCTAGATAAAAACATTAATCTTTTTATCTTATCTAGATAATAATAATTTGAAGTATCTTTTTATCCATCTTTTTAAATAAAATGGTTATCTAAGATAAATTATCTAGATAACTTTGAAAAAGATATTTTTTTTTTGTGGGTAAGTGAAACGAAGAATAATCAACACTTAGTATTGCCGTATGTACGTTTTAAATTTTAAATATACACATATAAACGAAGAAAAATTATTGTATTATACGAGTATTTATTAATTATTTACACAGAAAACATATAAAAATGAAAGTATTTCAAATAATGCCATTCAATTCTATACCGATTAACTTTTTTTTCTGTATAATCGACGACTGGGCCTTCCTAAATGATCATTTTATTTCAGACAATCTAAGTGTATTTGAAAAAATAACTTTGAAAAATTATATTATTTCTTATTTCTTATCTTTGTAGTATTCGAATTTTTTTTTTTTTACTTTATTCTTTTCAACGACCATACAATTCATTTTAAATTTAAGATTTTTAAAGAAAATATTTTTCAGAAAATGTTTTCTGACAATTGTCTATTTTCAAATTTCACCAGTGATCCGTTTAAATTTTAAAGTTAATTTAAGACTTTAGCACGTATTTTATTTATTAAAATATAATCTTTATTATAATATACTATATATTATATATTATAATATATTAAATTAAATATATTTCACCATATATTATATATATATACATATAATTTTATTTATTTATTTTATTTTATTTTTTACTATATATTATATTAAGCATCTGTGATGTGCCATAAACGTATTATAATCATAATGCACTTAAATTTGTTCAATCGAATAGTAGAAAACATGTATGACACAAGTAGCATAATTTATAGGTACTATAATGTACTCATATATTATATAAATGTAATCCAGCGGAATCCGAACGATTGCAGGACAAATATACCGAAAACATTGAAATTAATATTGAGCGCACGTTAAAAAATGCATCTTTGTTGTACGATCAACATTGACCGAGAATAATTATTATCTTCATACCCGCTTCGTACGTATTCTACACACATCGCTGAATCGGCTAATTTACCCGTATACATTGTTTAGGCACAAACTAATGGTGCAATTTTGAACTTTTTCAATTACGATCATTCAAATGTTAATACACGTGCTGAAACAATTTAATCGGAATTCATTATGTTATGATGACACTACTAACCGACAGATTAAAAATCGACTGTTCCACGAGTCATTTTCGACGTAAATGAATTTTTATTGAACGTATAGAACCCCAACGAAGTATCTGTTTTGTATGCATGGATAATATTAAGTTGGTTTTTGGTACTTTATCATATTATTGTAGTTGTTGATGTTAATCTACGCAATAATGCTAACAAAAGCTACCCAGAAATCCCTATGTAACGGTCTCGAGATTTCAAAACAAAGATTTGTAAAGATTCTAGAAGAACATGTACGTATTATTTTTCTTATATATAATAGAAGTTAAACTGTTGTAATCTATGTGAACCATAGAGAGTTAAATTTTATATTCCCAAGACAATAGCGTGAAAATAATAAATCGCCGAGAAGTATAATACGATCGTAACCATGGCAAATATAATTATTATATTTAATATGAATGGGGTATCTACTGCATATACCATTGACACGGCCCGTTTATATGAATATCTTCTGTCGGTTTAATTGTCTGGTATATTCATTTATTTTCTTAAATTATTTAAATTATGTTTAATATCTACAACAGATGAACGCGAGTAGAAGAAAAAACGATATTAAAACAATGTACGCGCTCAATATATTAATCACAACTATCAATTGTTCATTGAAAAACATCAAATTCTCTGTTGACTTTACGTTCGATACATATTATTAATTGGCGGTGTAATGAAAATTCTTACTGCCCATTTACCAAGCACTTTAAATTCGTCATCTTGCAGTACTTACTCTGTAAATGTATCGTCTAGGCTTCAGTTATCGCTTATGGATATGAATTGAAACGCGTTTAATACAAGAACGATTTATGATTCGGGTTTTCAGTCACGTTCGACGTTTGTGGATGGAATAATTTTCAACTTTCGAGCATAACTAGAAATCAATTCCAGCAGCAGTTGCTTCTTGTGTCACGTAAATAAAATATAATACATTTAAGTTAAGAACTGATAAATTATGATTTAATATCAGCAGCGCATCAGACGCAGTATAAGTTTCAAGGGCAGGGGTGGAATAAGGGCACGACCCTCAATGACATAAAGCTTTAGGTTAATGAACTGAACAATTTTAAGTTGAGTCTTTGAACATATATTTATAATAACATAAACATTTTTTATAAATATATGTTTAATAATATTATGAAAATATTTATTCCTCCAAAAAAAAAAAAAAATGCTATACAACTATTAGTATTAGTAAGTTCTACCATATATAATACATCAACTTTGTGAATACAATATACATAGTAACTCGAACCCTGGTTAATATACTTAAAATAAATAGCCAAATAACCAGCTACAATTTTGAAATAAAAAAATCCGAGGAAGACATGTAATTTCACTTAACTGTGAAACACGTTACGTGACGCAGTCGAAATTTGGATAACAAATGTCAAATGCTTTTGAACGACTCTATTAGACGCTGATTTTTAGACTCCTCCTCCTCTATCCTCTCTCAACACGTTCCGATTTGAGGGAGACACCTGCCTGCACAATTTTAATGGAGTTATATGGTAGTCCACACACATTCCGGTGAAAGGCGCAGGTCCTTGTATTCTCACAGTTGGTAAAATACAATTAATCAACGATGACTTGATAACACTAATTGATATGAGCGTAGTTTTGAAACTGCAAAAAAAAAACCAAAATTAAAAAAAAAGCAAAAAGTGGGTCAAAGATTCGATCTTGAAACTATAAACATATCTACATAATAAAATTAAAATTAAAAATTACTAAACAGTTAATGCTTGTAGATAATATATATGAATAAATAATATCGGAGTCGCGAATTTATAGACTTTGTTTATACCTGACAATGAATTTTTAATTCAAAACCGGTCACAAAAAAAAATATATTAATACTTTTAATTAATCGTTTATTTATATATTTCTGTACATAAACTATTTGTTTATTTATTTATGTACGATAAATATATAGCCGTCGATCGAATAAGTTTAGTGAATTACTCGAGACTCGAACCAACTGACTTTTAAAATTATTTGGGAATGAACTAAGGGATATAACAAAATTGCTTTCTTTGGTTTAACAAACTCAGATTCAATCACATTTGGATTTACAAGAAAATATAATATTTCATTACAGATTGACCTTCATTGAAAATTATTTTGGGTGGCTGTCATCTCAAGTTCGTGTGTTCTAAAATAAATTTGGAAATTTGAACTCCGATTCCATCACACGAATTCGAATTCTGCGTCCGGACGTTATGGTACGGTATGCGCACAATCACCTGTTACTCGGTTATACCGGCCGTGTACGGTAACGATAACACGTATCAAAATCTCTTATCAATGCATAACAATAATATCAACATCAACGTTAAGGACCCGTAACAGCATCAGTGTTCGCGGTCCGAAAAGCAATATTGACGTTAATGACCAACTGTTATTGCGGTCCGACGTCGGTCTCTGTCGATCCAGACGATCCGAGTGTGATGTAGGCAGTTTGACGCGGTAACAATATTATCAGCGCCCGCAAGTGTCCGTCCACCGCTTTCGAACATGTTCGATTCCACGCCGCTTTTGGTCTACACGCTGTTCTACATCCTCGTGGCCGCATGCTTCGTGTTAAGGACTTCCGAGTTCGTGTCTAACGGGCTCACCGTCGAGAATCTGTTTGAGATGTTCATCGACAAGGAGTACAACAACTTCGTGATGCACCACATCCGGCGAACGTCGTTCACTGTTGTTGTACACTCGTGTCTACCCCTAGGTTGGTGTCCACCTAGTTCCGATATAAGTGTAATTTTATTTATTTATATTTTCGGGTTTTGGTTTTACAGTTTATTTGTTGGGCACACTTTTGGAGAGTGAAAAAAGTTATTTTATCCATACGCACTTCTACGAGTTACTGTGCCTGACCTTAGTGCCCATTGTCTACAGCTGCTCGCTGGTATATAAGTGGAAAGACAACAAATGGGCTAGTCATCCGTTATCCATCAATCTGAGCCGTTATGATCCAGGCGATTGGACTCTTGTTGCTCAAAACATTTCTGCTGAGTATCAACGGTATGTCTATCCATCTAGAAGAACCTTAACCTGTTTTATCAAGTATCTAATAATGTTTTACTTTTATAATCTAATTTGTAATAACAATGTTTTTTTTTTTTTTATTAAGTATTGAAAAATTGACGTTGGCCTGTGGTACTCTGACAAGAACTGTAGTTACTCAAAATTGGATAATATCTATCAGTTCATACTCTGTTTATGTTGCCAAGAAGTCAGAGAGCTCATTTTTAGTGTACAGTTCAGACAACCATGTGACAACACCTGATGGCACTCCAGGCAGTGTACAGTTCATAAATATTCAAGTGATACCTATTCGATCTAGAATTAAATGGTTTTTCGTAAGGTAACTAACTTCCAGATGTTTTGTTTAAACTTATAAATACAATTATTTTTTTCGTAGAATTAAGTCTGAGGACTTAAAACTTTTGGAAGAACATATTGGCCAACCTATAATGATTGCTGATAATGTCAAATTACAACGTTCAAGAACTGAACGCTTCATAGAAGTGTTCCGTGATCAAGTTTCCCAAAACCCAGTTTATAGAGGCTATACCACAGCAGAAGTGTGTTTTGAATAACTCTACTCATATTTGTTTTAAATTTAAATTTATTCACTTATTATAATATTATTATTCTATGGTTAAAAATTAGTTGCACAACATATAATAATAATAATCAGTATATTTTAGTTCATGTACTATACATTTAATAGTAACTTTTTATTGATTAATTCTATCATTTATAATTCATGATGAATTTAATATGCTTTTAAGTCATTATATTATTAATTTCAATAATTTTAACTAAATCTTTAATTTTTATATTGTAGAAGTAAGTGAAGATATATATTTCTTGTGCAGTAAAGTACTGTTACAATTTTTTACATTGAACTATTTAATATAGACATAATATTATTATTTCATGAATTATATTTTTTCTAAGGTATTAGGTTTTAGGATTGTTAGAAAAATTGTTATCTAATTAAACATTTTTTTTATCTGATTTGTGCTCTTGGGCAAAATAAGAATATGTGATAATAGAAATAGGATAATACAAGTTAATGGAAATAGCCACTCAGTGGTTGATCTCACCTGTTGTATAATTTTTTTTTTAATATTAATTTTACATTTTAGATTGTTTATAAGGTCTCTGCATTATTTTATTTTTAGTTGTCTTAGTGAGTTTTCTGGAAAGTGATGTGTAGATATAAGAATGTTAAACTACCCATTTATTGTACTTAAATTTAATAGTTATTTTTATAAACAAATTATTAATAAGTATTAATAGTGATCATAAACTCAAAAAAATATTTGAAAGGAACACATATTAAGTAGTTCAAAATAATATTACTTCTGAGACGTTAATATTTTTTAATTAAATACTTTGTACCTAAAATTCAATATGATTATTATTTTTACAATAAAAACCATATAACTTATATTGTTCAATCAAAATTCATTGAAATATCCAAATTAATGTTGAACATTTAATATTGTAATGCTTCTAACACTTTTATGTGAAAAATTTCTATTTTTACAATTTGTTTTTTTTTTTGTTACAGTAAAAATGAATACTATATTCAATTTGTTCAAAAACTTGTATATTGTAAACTTTGTCCATCTTTTTTTTTTTGATTTTCATCAGTTTTTTGCCATTATAAAAAAAACTTGAGAACCACTAAAAATGCTAATATATAGAATAGCCTACAGAACATTTTCTATCAAAATTCTCTTATTGTGATGATCAAAAGCTATGTTTCTGATCAAAATGGTGTATAGACATAAAAAAAAAAATCATTCATCATAGAGGTTTAATTGATTAGGTTAGATTTGGTCTACTTGATTTGGTAACTAATCCATTCTTAATGTCACTAAAAATCTAAGAAATATGTAACTTACAATTACTGTCATAATTTTGTATTAATTTAGTATAGCTACAAAGAATAAATAGTAAAAATTAAAAATTCCAATTTTTAAAATATTAAAAATAAGATGATATTACAACATTAGTTTTATTTGATGAATTGATCATTTTTATTTCCTAGTTAAAAGATATAATTTTGATATCGTTTAAGTTTAAAATAATCTAAGCAACTATTTAATATGTCAATCATAAATAAATTGTTGTAATTAATAACATATTAAGTCATAATTATTGGATATTAATAAAAAAATGTAATTTATAGTTAGAAGATAGTACGTGTGCTGGTTGCTTAGTGAACCCTCCAGATGTAAAGCTTATTAAATGTTGCGAAGATAACACTGTTAATGATGTAGTCAATTGTACTTCTTGTCAATGTAGACCAATGTGGTGTGTTGATTGTATGGCTAAATGGTAAGGTATTTTGTAAATGTATCCCATGAATGTCTAATATATATTATGCATATATATTTTGGTTTCAGGTATGAATCAAGACAGCCTCAAAACGATACGACTAATTGGTTATCTTCAAAATGCACTTGTCCACTTTGTCGGCAAGTATTTTGCATCCTTGATGTTTGTCCACTTCAAAATTCTGAATTAGCAAAAACCAATTAAGTTTTGGTATTTTTAACTTTACTATTACTGTGATAAAGTGTGTAAATCTAGTAACATATGAGTTTAATTTTATGGTTTTTAATTTTAATTTATTACATTCAAATTAAAAATGAAAATTTTAACATTTTTAAGTTGAGAGATATTACCATTGATTATGAATAATATAAATCTTACAAACAATGATATACATTTGTACACGTACAAACTATACAAACTATACATTAAGTATTTAATTTATAATAAAAAAACTAACATTACACTATTAACTATCATAAATGTACAACTGTAAGTAGGGTGCTGATTTAATTATTTTATAAATAAAAAAGAATCCTAAAAATACAATACAAATTACATAAAAATATTTTTTAATTTTTCAATGTATATAACAATCTTAGTGTTTGAATGATATAATATATTAGGGCTTACAGAAAAAAATTGTAATTTTGATTGTAATCCGTACCTTAGTTATAATATTACCAATTAATTTTAAAATATTTATCTCTTATAATGAAAATGAAATATAAAAATTTGTTTAACTCTCAAACATTATATGACATATGTTAATTTATTTTATCATGTTTTGATTAAGATTAGTGTTGAAAATAATGTTAATTTCAAAGTTATTGCCAATAAGTATTTGGTTTATCATTGATCTTATTTTTATTATAAATGTTTGCATAGCTGTTATTTTTTTTTTTTTTTATTATAAGATTTATTCATAAAAAATAATATATATTTTGTACCATCTAATTTCATAAACATTTCCTAAATATAATATTTATCTATCTGTTCATTTTCATACATTCCTAATATTTCTTATAATTCTCTACGTAATAACTATAAAAATAAGTGACTATGTATTAGTTTTAATCAACGTAGTTAAAGTTACTTAAGTACGTTTACACATAGTTTTTTCTTAATATACCTGCGTAAGTTGAAAATAAGTTTTAAATAAGTGCTTTAAACTTTTCAAATGGTGTAAAAAGTATTTGTATAGCTATATATATATTATACTAATAAATTATAAAAATACAAGTATAATCAACAGTTGAAAAATAATTGAATTAAAGAGCTTTAATGTTTTATGAGGGAAATTAATGAAATATTCGACTTTCCTGTTGTGAATTTATGGTAAATATTTTATCAAATAACTAATCCGCAGTTAAAAAATTTGAATGAATCTTTTAACGGTTGCAATACTAATTAAAGTACACAGTAGATAAAATGTGTTTTAATTTTTTATTTTTAAAAGAATGATTACCTATAATTGTATACCGAATTCAGAGTTAAGATTCCTTACTTTACATTGCTTATCATTGATTAGTTGCTTAAATTGATGTCAACAAAAATTAATATTAATTTTTTCAATTAATCAAAAAGAATATTTCTTTGTGCATTCTTTTGCTACGTTGTACATAGATGTTTCATATTTTTCTTCTTTTTCTTTTTTCGTAAAATGTTCATAACATTTTTAAATTAAATTAGAAATAATGATCATATAACTCAATTGCTCTTGTTTGACTTGTTAATAATATTTAAATATATTAAAAAGGAAATAATAATGATGTAAAAAATATTAATAATAACTATTTTAAAACATGATAGGCCCTGGTATACCAGGCCTACTCTCTGGATATGCCACTGCCGATGTCATCTGCGAATGAATCTTAAATGAAAGTAAATACCATAACAATTATTACATACGTCATTACCATAATAATATTCATATTTCAGATGCGTTTTTTATAATGGCGGAAAGGAAAACTCTCTAGCGCCTCTGGCAAACTTAGAAAAAAAGGCTTTTTAAAGCAATTAAAATTTGATGTCACGATATTTTTTTAATCTTTAATTTAACTAATATTTTTAAGTATACAATTTATCCTTATAAGTTATATTGTTAATTTTAAACTTTGAAAATTTGCAATTCTCGCTTCATGTCTAGCAAATTCATCGATAATTTCTTTATATGAAATTTTTTATTTAAATTTCCTTGTGCTATTTTTATAATTTCTTCATTAAATTCATACGCAGCGTGTACAAATAGACAACATCTACGTATTTCAAAGAGTACAATGAAAAAATGTCGATTTGATTGTAGGATGAGAATGCAACTTTCGCGCAATTTGGCACCCCTTTGCAATTCGCTCACCTGGCATAGGTACAGTTCGCCATACCCTTGCTACACCACTGGTTTTTTGTAGTTAGGAAAGAAAAACGAACGTCGTTATCTCATTCTTTTACTGGTGCGTTCACATACCGTTCAATGTCGGAACGGACGACGACGTCACTCGTTCGCAAAACAATTGTTTCAAAATGACTCGACGGATGACCGACAGCCGTTTTTTGGCACGGATCCAAATAAAATACCACAATAATAATAATAATAATAATATCACGCTCAAAGCGTGATAGTACCACATACGCACCGTGCAGTTTAGACACACTACGTTATTTATTTATTATATTATTTACGGTAGATATGTGCAGACGTTGTAGTGATTTTTTTTCCCGCCGGGATGCACGCTCAGCGGGTGCGAAATATTTTCTTACGTCAACATTGAAGTGCAGGTGAAACTAGGTGTTTCAATGCTGTTGGACTAGTCTAAAAGTTTAATAACCATCCGGGAGATGACATTTTACTACATATATCACTGGAGTAGCTTATCGATCGAATAGTTGACGAAGGTACCTTCTGTAAAGAAGTTTGTAAAGATAAAACTATTCGTAGTATTACCGATGACACGTATTTTTTATTATTAAAAATGTGTTGATTTCCTACTCAAGTTGTCATCGACACTTACAGTTTTTCTTTCTTTCTCTCTGTGCAATCGATGACTCGTGTATATTTGGTATAATGAGCACTTTACGCGATTATGATTGTATTTATCGCCGGTACGAATTCTGTTTTCAACGATTTCGCTAACCGGACGAATTTGGAGAGAACATAATGGAATTAAATATTAATGATCGAATCAGTTATAGTATTACTTAATAAAATCTTATTGAAAAAAAATAAAATAAAATATACATACGTACACACATATTTACCGTATTTGGATTTATCCACCACAAATTCCCCAATATAATAACTATTCAGATGTGGAAACCTAATTTTTTTTCTCTTTCTTAATTTATTGTAAAACATATATATATATATATATATATATATAATAACTAATATTAGAAATAAAATCTTTAAAATATACTAACATGGGTACATTATAAAAAATAATTTATACACAAAACTCTATGTTATCATACTCTAAACATAATAAAGGTAAACATTAAGCAAATAATATCAAAACAAAATTGTCAACAGTTTATAATATGTACAACCTTCGTTTATAAAAAATAATCAAGATAAAAAAAGAATATATGACTAACACGCATGACAACAAAATACATAATCTAACTTTGTTAACCCTAATTAGCTCATATCTTAGATGAAAAATCAACATTACGATTGGTATAAAATATAAGTAAGTTTATCAATCAGTTCACTATTGTTTCTTCTCTAGTTTTTTTCGCACGAGCGCGTGCTCATTGATTGAATTACTGTTTTCTACCATATAATTTTCGGTGCTACATATTATGCGTAATATTTCAGTTAATATTCTCAACGATCATCGTCTTACCGACAGATGCACTTTTACAACTTATCACGGTCCCAATGATACCCGGTCCATACTAGACCTTTAACAGAACACCCCTCCGCAAAAATTTGTTACCACCAATATTCAACTTAAGGAACACAACATTTGGTGTTTTTTTTCTGGTTTTTTAAATGCTACTCACAAAAAACTGTGTGATTATCAGTTTTGCTTTCGTCTCCATGGTGGATACTACTGTATTAAGATGTGCCGACTTTGACACGCTCTATACGATAAAAAATTGATCAAGTGGACTCAGTGTTTCGACCGGCTGGTCACATTTTCAAAAACCAATAAATAATTTTTGTTTTTTCGATTATTTTTATTGTACGTGCAACAAACGAGCTTGTCAACAATTTTAACTGAGCTTCATCGTATGAACTGTTGTCCACATTTCGAACTGAAATATATTATAATTCATAGATTTTTACCTTATCCCAAGTATTAGTACTATTATTACCGGCAACATTAAACTGACCGAGTAATTTTGATACCACTCACCCGTCCGAAGAAATAGTTAGGTACGATTTTCAGCGAGTTCTTGTCATCGCGTCACATCATTGTTCCGCGTTTTCAATACCTCAAATAATAGGTTGTAATATACGTTATAAACACGAACCATTGTGAAGTCGAGTTTGTTTAATTTGTAATTTATTTAATCTACCCACAACGCAGAGAGATGCTTTTCACGCGGTCCGGACGAACGAAAGTGTGTTAATGTGGTCGACGAATTCGTTTTTCCGTGTGATGGTCATCACGTGCAGTGGCGCCGGTACAGAAATCGATGACACTGTTATAATTTGATCGACGGCCGCGGGTTGACTTCGGTAATGAATGTAAATCTACGTGCCTGTGGAAACCAGAAATTCCGAGCAAAAGTAAAAGCGTACGAACACCTAGCACGCACTCGGTCGCACACGGAAATCGGGAGACGTGCACAGGCGACTTTAACGGTTTCGACCGCGTTCGCAAATAATACAGGACAATATTCCAATGAGCCAACGGAACTACGTGATCCTACGATTGGGTAACCGTACGTCCTGTTTTAAACAGGATTGTCCTCTTTTCAGATTGATGTTCTGTTTTTTCATTCGGAATTAAACCGGACGCAATTAATCCTGTTCTCCGTGACTGTCCTGTTTTAATCCTGTTTTTCACTAGTTTTTCGTCAAAAAGTGATTTTAACTAATAATAGTCATCAATAGGTAATAGGTTAACTGCTTTAGATATTTTTTATCTATGAAATCCAGTCATGTTGAGATGTTTATTTTTTGTGTGAGTATTTATTTTCACCGAAATTACGACGATGTATATGTCGACAATAATAATATATCATTATTGTAACTTGATATAAAAATACTAATGACATTAGAACGTTAATTATTATGTATACATATATATTATTTATATAAGTTTCTTGTT